CCCCCCACACACACACAAACAAACTAAAAACATCGTCATGTTTGATATCGTCTGCGTCTTGATCAAATCTTGTCCAAATGTGAGGCAGCGTGGTGGAATCAGGCTCTCGTCAATTTTTGGGCACGTAGAGTTATTGTTATCATCTTAAAGCTTGTTCACCTGTCTTTATTAGGATGCAAAAAAATATCCATTTATCTTGAATACAAGTCGAGATATTTGCAAAAGAGGGAGGAGGGGGTCACCTTTTTAAAGAGGTAAAATTAGTGAGAAAATGGCCGCCAAAGATTAGTTATTTCCTTAGCTTAAGAGTCCGTAGTAACTACAAATTTACATTTTTTGTGCCTTTATTCAACGTTTTTCAGAAAAAAATCCACACAGAAATGAGTTCTTTAATGAGCATGAAAGATGTTTAGCCAAAAACTAAAATTTGATTAAAATTCATAAACCTGTGAAAAAATGCAAGTTTCTTCACTTTGATTATTTTGACGAGAGCCTGATTCCACCACGCTGCCTCACAAATCATGTCCAAATGTTCCTCCGAGGAGAACATTCTGGCTGGCCTCGACTTAGTAGAACTGATCTCCACTAGCAGTGTGCACTTCATCCTTCTATGGACATCTGGCGGTATAAGACTACAGAAAAAGTAAAAGGAAAGGAAAATTTTTGTTTTCTCCGTTCTTCATTCCTCCATGTAGAGATGGGTTTGTGAGTCAGGGTTTGACGGACTGAGACTAGAGTGCTGTGGCCAAGTCGCCCTCTTCTACTCCTCAGGTAGGGCTGGGGGTTCCTCGCTCACTTGAGGCGTCTTCTTTTGCTGGAGGGATTTTCTTATGCGTAACTGAGCCATCTGTGAAAAGAAGAAAAAAGTATAGAAAATGTTATGGAAACAATTGAAGAGATCGAAAAAAAAAACCCCAAAGGGTCTAAATCAACTTATGATTGTTTCGAGAAAAATGAAAACAAAAACCGACTTTAACGATGAGTAGGGGTAATTTGTGAAGGTCGTAACTCTGATTTAAAATCATCCTGTCATTTAACTCAAATGCTATGTTGTGTAGTCTCTCCAAATATAATATGTGTGGTTGCATTAAGAACTGTCTGTTTCTTAGAATAATGTGACTTAGACCATTTATCTTCCTGACTCCTTCAGATATGTAGTAAAAGTAAGCAACAGAAAATTCAAAGGCTTTCAGTAAAAAGGCATCTTTCAGTCCTCCCCCCCCCCACACACACACCAAAGCTCCCACAACACACGCGTGTCAGTCAGTCAGTCAGTCTGTCTGTCTCTGTCTGTCTCTGTCTGTCTGTCTGTCTGTCTGTCTGTCTGTCTGTCTGTCTGTCTGTCTGTCTTTTCGGTCTGAAATATAAAATAAACCCACTGCAGCTAGGGGTTTTTTTTTGTGTTGAAAACAGTAGGTCACCCCAGGTGTCTGTAGTATAGTGGTTATACCATTTGCCATCGCGTACAAGAAACGCGGGTTCGATTCCCAATTTGGGGGAGACTTTTCATCGAGTATCTCAATCTTTCTGTTGGAACGTTGTCTCCCTTTCCCTCTGAGTTGGCCCTGACAGTCAGGGGTGAACCCCGCTTGTAAATGATTCACAATGTGTCGAAATAAAATTACACAGGCTTAGATGTTGATGTTTATGGGTGACGAAGGTACTGAATACAGAAATAGTAGAAGATTTCATGCTTAATAACAGTATACTCATGCAGGCCTACTCACAAGAAATTGAAAAGGATTGAGGCAAAAATTTAGGAATTATTGCAATAGGCTTCACCTTCGTTTTTCACAAGTTGTGTGCATCATAGGGCAGTAAAACACTCAACCGTACGAATAGTGCTTTAGATTGAAATGTTCTGAAATGCTATGTGTGGTCAACTCTTCTATTATGGTTGTGAATGCTGGACAATCACTAAAGACAATGAAAATAAAATAGAAGTAAGACAAAAAAATGGTTTCTAGGAGACTGTTGAGAATAATCTTGGAAGGAAAAGAAAACACATGAGGTAGTCCTTGATGAAACCCATGTGGGACGCTCACGGATAATAAAAAAAACAATCAGGAAACGACAAAAGCCGGTTTTTTTTGGACACCTGAAGGCACATCAAGGTCTTGAACATCTAGCTCTCACCCGCAAAATTGAAGGCAAACGAGGCAGGGGTAGGCCCAGAGCAATCTACTTAAAAACCCTAAACAGATGGAAAACGGGGAAAGATCAGGGTAACGTAGCCTTTTTAAAAGCATCCGAGCAAAAGAAGGAGAGGAGAACCATGATCGTCGATGTCTGCCGCAGATCTGGCACTTGATGATGATGATGATGATGATGACTGAGAAGCGTACCAAAGCAGACTTACCTTGTGCTCATAATCTTTCTGTGCCATTTCTCGTCGTCTAGCCATCGCCTGGAGGAACATTAAATGTAGAGACGTGAGTCACTGATGATGATGATGATGATGATGATGATGATGATGATGATGATGATGATGATGATGATGATGATGATGATGATGATGA